GAACGGTGGACATAGGACTTGATGACAGCGATAAAGCCTCACAAAATACAAAGACTAGATGGCAGGTGGTACCTTAAAAATTCTATACAACCGAGCAAAGAGGGCATGCCAGCTACCTTAGTAAGCCGTTTGATGACGTTGAATTACCGACTTTGTTGCGCCAAACAATTTTATTGCTTGAAAAATGATGCAATTATCAACCGCTATCAAACAAATCAGACGAAATCTTATAAGCACAAATGGTTTTTAATTGGAAGTAGTTAGAACGGAGCTGTTGCTCATTTGAACAATAGATGAGCAAGCTAATATAGACGTTGAAAAAAAGCAAAATAACGACGCAAACTGATTTTTTTTTCTCTTGGCACCTAAGAAAACGAATGAAAAAGTCTACAATAAAAGGGATTCAATTGATAATACTAGCAGCCTAGTGAGTTTCGAATTATTTTACAGCTACAAAACCACTTACTACTTAGCTTTCGTTGATTAATGGACGTAGCTGGGTTTACCAGCTAGTGTATATTTATCAACATATTTCAAGCCATCGCAACCATTTGTAAGTTGCAAGCTCAAAATTTTTTCAACATAACAAGGTGGGAAGACCATTTTTGGCCACGCTATAGAACGCAATAGCTTTTTCTAAGAATTGCGGGTTATCTTGGGGAGGTACTTTTTGAAAGTGCACTCCAATAGTTGGTGGAAAAATTTATGCCATCTGAATTTTTGTTCGTTGTGCGTTCACTTCACAAGACCTAACTTTTCTGTAATGTTATTGCACTTAATTCAAACACTACTATATTAAGCAAGTTCGCACGTGCACAATGCAAATTACTGGGAATTACCATTTTCGTCAATGAAAAAGCTCCAGGGATATTGCAACTTTCTCTTGTTTCGCAAAGCCTTGTTTCTTTCTTCAAAGAAGTTGTTTGGAAGAATTGGGTTCCCAAGAGTCAAGAATCAAACGAAGATGTACATAACACTTGCCTCTTTGATTGATTTTGTGTCCCAGTCTTTCTCACAGCTGATTAGCTGATTTCCAACAGTT